TACTAAAAAACTCAAATATCTTTTTTAATTAAATCTAACAGCCAATGGGAGCACATTTGCTACAACCTCTGCTTACTTTGGGCTAAATGTTGTTTTTTTATTTTTTTTTCAGGTGCATAGCCAGATTTTTTTTTCTCAGAAAGCAAAGCCACTAGAACTGCATGTATTACAAAAACATACCGGTACTATTCACTGCGTGTCCTCTGTTTTTTACTTTGAGAAGTTCTGTCAACCAAATCATAAATATGTGTTTCTCTGTACATAAAATTTCACACGATTTGTTAATATTAATGTATGATAATAAAAACTTGATAATATTTTTCTGGATTTTTGCATTTTATTTGTATCATTGTCATATGAGAAGTAATCTTGTCCTTTTTAGAGATATTGAAACTAATCCAGGGCCACAAACTAGTTTATCCAAACAGACACAACACTGACATATTTGCAGATCTGATTTGTATACTTCCTTGTCATTTTACCTGTTGTACTGGTTTGGTGCTATCTGGTTTCCTTGCTGAGAATAATGCTGACCTGGATGGAGAGTGCTATAAACTTGAAAATGCCATAGAAATCACGTTTGCCAATTTATGTCCATGCAACTTTAGAATGACAACTAGCGTAGGCAGTATCATTCATGACTTGTTTTCAGTGAATTTAAATTTTCTGTGGGCTAAGCTTCTCATTTTGTGTAAAGGTTAGGTTCTTAAAAAATAACAGCAGCTGCTAGTCTTAGATACTGTATTTTGCCATGTTTGATTATTCAGACTCCATCTCCAGTATAACCCCTAGAACAGTTTTCCGTCATGTATACTAACTGACCACATGTGCAAACTACATCACTTACTAGTCCAAAACCACAAATGCAAAATCTTGTATTATCAGCAGCTACTAGTCTTAGATACTGTATTTTGCCATGTTTGATTATTCAGATGCCATCTCCAGTATAACCCCTAGAACAGTTTTCCGTCATGTATACTAACTGACCACATGTGCAAACTACATCACTTACTAGTCCAAAACCACAAATGCAAAATCTTGTATTATCAGCAGCTACTAGTCTTAGATACTGTATTTTGCCATGTTTGATTATTCAGATGCCATCTCCAGTATAACCTCTAGAACAGTTTTCCGTCATGTATACTAACTGACCACATGTGCAAACTACATCACTTACTAAGTCCAAAACCACAAATGCAAAATCTTGTATTATCAGCAGCTACTATCTTAATACTGAATTTTGCCATGTTTGATTATTCAGATGCCATCTCCAGTATAACCCCAAGAACAGTTTTC